TTCCCAATACGACACCCACTGGCAGTTTCTGCATCAGGCCCACCTCTACCATGCCCTCCCCAACACCCCAATTCAAATGTACTTTTGCGGTGGGTAATCTGTATACCGCTCCCCCTACTACTTGCACTGCTACAGATCCGCCGTTGTGTGCGGAGCCTGGAACCAAATGAGAGGCTACCAGAGTCAGAGTGGCTCCTGAATCCCGGAGCCCTTGGACCTCTTTCCCTTTCCAGGGTTACTAGCTGGCGATGGTGTTGCCTGTTGTCTGTAGCTTGTACCGACATCACATCGTGTAGTATCCCTAGGGGCTCTTCGGTCTGATTAAAAAGTATCTCCTGGGTTGCTGGCTCCGCTTGGTAGTGGTGGGCGGCTGCTCTTGGTGCTGGATTCTGCCGTACCTGGCTCCATGCTTGGCGGCTCTGGTTCTGGGTACACTCTCTCGCCATGTGGCCCCATTGTTTGCACGTATGGCACTGTATATTCGCTCTGCCATTATACCTGGATGGTGGAGTGTGCCCCCCCGGGGTTGGCCGGAATGGGTTTGCTGTAGGTGCAGTAGGGGTAGCTGTATAAGGTTGAACGGTGGGTCGAGGGTACCCTCGGTTGAGGTTACCGTGATGCTTCCTGGCATCATAGTGCTGGTCTGCTAGTCTTGCAGCTTCTGTTAGGGTGAGGATTTTTCTATCTCTCACCCATTCCTGTGCCTCTGGGGACAGGCCATTGAAAAACTGTTCTAACAGCAGCAATTGCTGTAACTCCTCTATGGTGGTTGCTTGACTGGCTTGTATCCACCACTGGGAGGCTTGGTCCAGTTTGTGGGCCCACTCTGCGTGGGAATCTTTCTCTGGTTTGCGCAACCCTCAAAACTTGCGCCGGTATGCCTCTGGGGTAATGGCGTATCTTTCCAGTATAGCCTGTTTTATCCGGGCATAATCTTTACTATCCTCCCTGGGTACAGCCCGATAGGCTTCGGCTGCCCGACCTGACAGTTTGCCTGCCAATAAAGGTACCCACACTGCCTGCTCCAAATCATGCAAGTCACATAGCCTCTCAAAGTCTTGTAGATACCCATCAATCTCGTCTTTCTCTTTACAGAACATTTTAAACGCATGGTATGGGATCTTAGGCTTTACCTGGCTGACGACTGAAGCAGTAATAGACTCTGCTCTGGGAGGAGCATCCTGCGGTCCGTGTGCCATCACATACTTCTGCACATCCGCCATCAGTACTGTCAGTATTTCCAGGGGTACTGGCTAAGGTAAAAATTCCATCTTGGTCCTCATTTCCTTTTGGAAGGGGGTTTCTTCCATGGCTGGTGGGGGTGTAATGCTGCGAGCTCTGTCTCTCTCCATCAATTCAGCAATCAGCACAGCTTTTGGCTTATCTGGCTATCTTACCCCTGGCTTCCAATAGTTCCTTTAACGTCTGCTGTTTCAATGCAGTGTAGTCTGTCTCCATTCACCTCTGTGTTCGGTTCTTTGTTGTATCCGAATTGCCATTCACTTTCCTGTTCGGTAGTTTCAATTACCCGAACACCGCTTTTTGGCTGTAAGGTTGGATCCTGTCGCTTGCCACCAATTGTGGCGGAGCTGCAATATTAAATCCCAAGATCTCCGCTGGTATGGAAGGTAATCCAAAGTAAAGCGCTGGAAAAGAAGGCAATATCCCAAATCCCCCAGTAACCGGACGAAACACAGTTCAGGGAATCAACTGACAATTTTATTCACGGCTCCAGGAGTCAACTGACAATTTTATTCATGGCTGTTAGCCTATGCATGCTCTCTATTCTAAAACACACAAATACATTTTTACACCAGTTTAACACAGCTAGTTCAGACAACCTTTAAATGTTCTGCAATATGACCTAAAGTGGCTAGGTTTGCCACATTACTCAGTGTTGCCCCCTTGTTACTTAGTGTTACCCCCTTGTTACTCAGTGTTACTTAGTGTTGCCCCCTTGTTACTCAGTGTTGCCCCCTTGTTACTCAGTGTTGCCCCCTTGTTACTCAGTGTTACCCCCTAGTTACTCAGTGTTGCCCCCTTGTTACTCAGTGTTACTCAGTGTTTCCCCCTTGTTACTCAGTGTTTCCCCTTGTTACTCAGTGTTTCCCCCTTGTTACTCAGTGTTTCCCCTTGTTACTCAGTGTTTCCCCCTTGTTACTCAGTGTTTCCCCTTGTTACTCAGTGTTTCCCCCTTGTTACTCAGTGTTTCCCCTTGTTACTCAGTGTTTCCCCCTTGTTACTCAGTGTTTCCCCTTGTTACTCAGTGTTTCCCCCTTGTTACTCAGTGTTTCCCCTTGTTACTCAGTGTTTCCCCTTGTTACTGAGTGTTGGCCCCTTGTTACTCAGTGTTTCCCCTTGTTACTCAGTGTTTCCCCCTTGTTACTCAGTGTTTCCCCATTGTTACTCAGTGTTGTTACTCAGTGTTGCCGCCTTGTTACTCAGTGTTGTTACTCAGTGTTTCCCCCTGGTTACTCAGTGTTCCCCCCTTGTTACTCAGTGTTATTGCTCAGTGTTTCCCCCTTGTTACTCAGTGTTTCCCCTTGTTACTCAGTGTTGCCCCCTTGTTACTCAGTGTTATTGCTCAGTGTTTCCCCCTTGTTACTCAGAGTTGTTACTCAGTGTTCCCCCCTTGTTACTCAGTGTTATTGCTCAGTGTTTCCCCCTTGTTACTCAGTGTTTCCCCTTGTTACTTAGCGTTGCCCCTTGTTACTCAGTGTTGCCCCCTTGTTACTCAGTGTTATTGCTCAGTGTTTCCCCCTTGTTACTCAGAGTTGTTACTCAGTGTTTCCCCCTTGTTACTCAGAGTTGTTACTCAGTGCTTCCCCCTTGTTACTCAGTGTTTCCCCTTGTTACTCAGTGTTACCCCTTGTTACTCAGTGTTTCCCCCTTGTTACTCAGTGTTACCCCCTTGTTGCTCAGAGTTGCCCCCTTGTTACTCAGAGTTGCCCCCTTGTTACTCAGTGTTTCCCCCTTGTTACTCAGAGTTGCCCCCTTGTTAGTGTTACTCAGTGTTGTTACTCAGTGTTGTTACTCAGTGTTTCCCCCTTGTTACTCAGTGTTACTCAGTGTTGTTACTCAGTGTTGCCCCTTGTTACTCAGTGTTGTTACTCAGTGTTTCCCCCTTGTTACTCAGTGTTACCCCTTGTTACTCAGTGTTGTTACTCAGTGTTTCCCCCTTGTTACTCAGTGTTGTTACTCAGTGTTTCCCCCTTGTTACTCAGTGTTGCCCCTTGTTACTCAGTGTTGTTACTCAGTGTTTCCCCCTTGTTACTCAGTGTTGTTACTCAGAGTTGCCCCCTTGTTACTCAGTGTTTCCCCCTTGTTACTCAGAGTTGCCCCTTGTTACTCAGTGTTTCCCCCTTGTTACTCAGTGTTGCCCCCTTGTTACTCAGTGTCGCCCCCTTATTAGTGTTACTCAGAGTTGTTACTCAGTGTCGCCCCCTTGTTAGTGTTACTCAGTGTTTCCCCCTTGTTACTCAGTGTTTCCCCTTGTTACTCAGTGTTTCCCCCTTGTTACTCAGTGTTTCCCCTTGTTGCTCAGAGTTGCCCCCTTGTTACTGAGTGTCGCCCCCTTGTTGCTCAGAGTTGCCCCCTTGTTACTCAGTGTTTCCCCCTTGTTACTCAGAGTTGCCCCCTTGTTACTCAGTGTTTCCCCCTTGTTACTCAGAGTTGCCCCCTTGTTACTCAGTGTTTCCCCCTTGTTACTCAGTGTTGCCCCCTTGTTACTCAGTGTCGCCCCCTTGTTAGTGTTACTCAGAGTTGTTACTCAGTGTCGCCCCCTTGTTAGTGTTACTCAGTGTTTCCCCCTTGTTACTCAGTGTTTCCCCTTGTTACTCAGTGTTTCCCCTTGTTACTCAGTGTTTCCCCTTGTTACTCAGAGTTTCCCCCTTGTTACTCAGTGTTTCCCCTTGTTACTCAGTGTTTCCCCCTTGTTACTCAGTGTTTCCCCTTGTTACTCAGTGTTTCCCCCTTGTTACTCAGTGTTTCCCCTTGTTACTCAGTGTTTCCCCCTTGTTACTCAGTGTTTCCCCTTGTTACTCAGTGTTTCCCCCTTGTTACTCAGTGTTTCCCCTTGTTACTCAGTGTTTCCCCCTTGTTACTCAGTGTTTCCCCTTGTTACTCAGTGTTTCCCCCTTGTTACTCAGTGTTTCCCCTTGTTACTCAGTGTTTCCCCCTTGTTACTCAGTGTTTCCCCTTGTTACTCAGTGTTTCCCCCTTGTTACTCAGTGTTTCCCCTTGTTACT